TAACAAGCTTAGTTTAAAATCATTCAGATGTGTCATTCTAACCAGTTGCAGCCAATCTGATTAGGTACAGCAGATATTCTCCTGGCAAAATCATATCAAGCAAGTTTGCCAGTAGGTGGTTTCTACAAATGTCTTGAAATTCTCAGTTTCTGGAAAACATAGGCAGCTCTCCCTGAAACATCAGTGAAGGGGCACTGTCTTGGGAAACAAATTGCATTCACAAGGGACCAGGTAGTCTGTCTATGCTCTGGTATTCTTATGTTGGTTTTCATATATCTATCCTCCTTTTTTATCCTGACATTTTTGCATGATGGTTCATTGTTTTTAAGCTTGTTCTCTTAGAAGGTGAACAATCCAGAAGCGTGGAATGACAGTACATGCTGAGATATAAATGAATAGAGCATGGTTTTACATGAAAGGGCTTTTGCCGGGTTTTCTACTGAAGTGTGCAAATTTAAAGCTGTGGATCAACGCCCTGCCTTCTGCACACTCAGTGTTGGGTCACAATGTAGTGACAGTGACAAACTCCTGAGCAGCCAAGCCCACTTAAAAATACTGTGTGGAGGCACTCAGCAATAAAGGATGATGCCTTCAACAGCCAAGAGCTACCAAGGACTTTTGAAGACTGATGACCAATATGGAATATCACTTTACATACATACTATACATCCTAATGCTGTGCTGCACAGAATTGCCGAAACTGTGTCTGGTACAGGGAGTGATGTAACATTAGTTTGGCGCTCTGCTATAGCTTGTGTACAGTTATTCCCAGCAAGATTAATTTGTGTGAGCTCCTCAACTGGAATTAACTTGCTCACAACTGGCTTTAGCTCTCCAAGATATTGTGCACATATATCTGGTATTGGAAGGCTCATAGCAGCTGGCATTGCATCGGCAGTTTCCTCAGCAATATCAAAAAATTCAAGCTGCATGATGCAATTACCAGAAGCAGTGGGAGAATATTTTATTTCTTCAGTCTCATGCTCTTTTATGGTCTTTTAGCCAGTGGCTCACTGTTATGTCATTCACTTCATGAAGGACAACACTCTGTTAAATGGATGGCTTACTTTTAAGTTTTCTTCCAGGAAAAAATTCCATAGCTGCAAAATCTCTAACCATCTGACTGATAGTCTGTTTTCCAGTGCCCAGACTAAATGCAGAAGAGAGCTGATGGTTGTAGAGCTGCTCTAACGCGAGTCACTACTTCTTTGCTTATTCTTTAAAGTTTTGCCCAAATTTCACTGTTTTTTTCTGCTGCTCAGTTGCGGAATCTTGCCTAGTTTTCCTGATGTTCTTAATTTTAAATCTCTTCCAGCATTACAGCTCTTCAGATTTTTACCTGTTACCATCTGTTGATTCTTGTACCCAAATAGTATTCTTCTGTTTTCTAAACTGAATCTTATTGCAATATTCTGCCTGTGTTTCTAATCTTCCCGTGACCCCTTGTATTATTTCTCCATTTTCAGCAGTGTGCTCAGCTCCTCCTAGTTTAATAGATCTGCAGATTTCATTAATGTACCATTTACTCCCTCTTCTAGCTCATTATTGAAGCTATTAAATGAGATCAGAAGTAATACTAATCTTTGTGTACTGCACTAAATGCCTCCCTTCAAAGTTATTGTTTATCATTACCCTTCATTGTTTGTCATCACCCTTCATTTCAGTCAACATGATAGTTCATTTCCAATTTGATTTAAGTTTGGGAACAGAATTTTGACACATTGGAGATGGGAGAAGAAAGGCTAATCAACAATCCAGCAGAGGCTTCTAATTAAGGCTCAATTTAGAGGATCAAAGTTAGGAGTCCTCTGCTGCAGCCACAGTGTAAGGTGGAAACTGTCTCCATAACTTAATTGAGAACACCTTAAGCTCAGTGCTAAAATATCCTAAAGAAAACAGTATACTGCTAAAATTCAGGCACGTGACAGTATAGCTTCTGCTCTCTATTCATTAATTTTGTATTACTATTAAAAAATTAAGTTTGTCTGGCAGACTTCAAAGTGTTTTAGTAAATTTGTTTTCTCAATAGCTGTTTCATTATGTTGCCAGAGACGGAAGCTAAATTTATGAGCAGCAATTTCAAAGACAACTCACGGAATATGTGAACTTCTATCTTTGGCTGTTTCAGAGATGTACAGTCTTGCTTCCAAAGCAGCTATATCCTTCTTCTGTTCCTGCACAGTGTAAAATTTCAGGAAAGAGATTTTAAATTTCACAACCGCTTCAAAGTTAAATTTCTAAATTCTGTAGTTAATACTACTAAACATATTTATAATACGTCATTGCGAAACTGATTCAGTCAGGAAAAGCTAATTTTGACAAGACACAATTCCTCTGGTAATAATTAAACCCACATGACTTAAGGGTCCAACACCAAAGGCTGTTCATCCTTCACCTTAATATACCTAGCATTTTATAAAGTTAGGTTGCCAACCCTTAGCATCAGGACCAATTACTCTTGGTCTTTATTGACTTGCCAGAAATATCTTTATCCAAATACATTTGGATATCCAAGAACTGCTCGAGTTTTCCTAGGAATACTTGGCTTGAGCTCATTTAATTATGTATAGTCTGTGTCAGTGCAAATATGAAAACCCTAAACTTCATCTGGAAAAAAATTGCTTCCAGGTAGAACTGAGATCTCTTATGTTTTTTACTTATATGTGTTGAACAAAACAGTGGGACAGTGAAATACTGAAATTCAGGTTGGGGTCAGGTTATTTGCTAGATGTAGGTAGGGAAAATTACCAGAGTAAGAAGGCGGGTGCATCCTAAGGGCCATGACACGCAGTGGGTGTAACAGAAATATAATTGCAAGTCCCACTACTGCAACAAGGAGCGGGTTCATGAGTCCAGAAATACAACCAGAGGTGGGGTCACAAATCTAGAAATTAAGTTGCCAGAAGAGTTTGAGATTAGCTGCTATAAACTCAGCTTCTCTGAATTTTGAAGATCTGCATCTTTCAGTATCTGCCTACTTATCTGACATAGCCTGCTATCTCATTACTGTGAATCTGCCTTAACCTCTCAGGCAAATTTTGTTCACTCTTCCCCAGACTACTTATGGAATATTTTCCTCCCACTCAATCTCTCCTAAAACCCATCTCTGTCTCTGTTGATTCCTGCTAGGGAATCAGCAGTGACAATTTTTAGCCTTGTTTTTATGGTTAAGCATTTTTATAAAACTTTTTATTGGGTTTTTATTGCTACTATCTCCTGTCTGCCCCTCTCCCCCTATTATTGAGTTACATATTTATTATACCTCTTGTGAAATTGAATTGTATGATTTTCTGGGAAAAGATTTAATGTCACTTACATTTTCAAAGGTACCTACCAATAACATTTAATGATGTAAAAAATATGCATTATTACTCTAGTTCATTAATATCTATTAATCATGATTTAAGGTGTCCCTGATGAGTTTTATTGTTAACTGTCCAACGCTTATCTTCTTGCAAATGAAAGCCTGAGGAGGCTGCTTCCACCAGAGAACATTAACTAGTTCATTGCATCAATTTTTGATCGTCTGTATAAAACACGTAAAGGATATGTATGTTTGCCTAGACCATGTGTCAGCATGTGTTTTGGGAACAAGTTGGTATGTTGTGCCTCATTTCCTCCTTTGTTCCTTTGTATTCAAGGAGCTTTTACCTTTCCTTTGAAAGACACTTGAAGAAATGCATGCCTGCTGTGAAAGCCTGATTTATTTTGCATTGCATCTGCACTGTCTGGTTCTGCAATGTGCACTTTGGAATTGAATCGGCTTCTCTGCATCTCTACAAAGGATTTTTTTTTCCTAAGAATTTGACTATTTCATTGTCTTTCATTAACTGTATTAGTGGCTTTTTCTGTATATATTAAAGTTGGTCTTATTTTTATTATCAAAGAAAATATCGCGTATGTGTATAATGCTTTGCAGGAGTAGGTCCTCACCTAGAAAGGTTTCAAAATCAAAAAAGTGCAAGAAAAGTAAACAAGAAGAAAAAAATAGTAGTGATCATATGTTATTGCCTAGCAGTCCAATGAGTGCAGTTACTGACCTTGGCAAAAGCAGTGTGAATATAATGTTATAATAAATGGGGAAAAAACCTCCTGTAAGTCCAAAACAAAAAATTGCAGTAGTGCCATCTAGTGTGCCAGGTATTGCAGTTTTCTGGGAAGGGACAGTAAACTCCTTTCAGCCCATCCCACTTGTTACAGTCATACCCTGACTCGTCCTCCTGCTGCTGCTGCTCCCTTCTCAGCCTGCTGACAGGCGAGCAGTAACAGCATTGACAGAAGGTAGAGGAAGAGACCTGAGGGCTGTTTTGCAGATGCTGATTCTGGCACACATGCCATAAGGTTGTCATTACTGCTCTAGAAAAAATGAGCATCCGTGGGATTTTAAAGAAGGAGAAAGATAGCTGCTCTGTCTGTACTCCCATACAAATCTTCCTCTTCTACTCATTGGTTTCCACTGCTAAACATGTAATGGTTAAAACATCCTTTCTCACCTACTGCAGACCAGTTGTTTTGGTGTTGGGAGAGGAAAAATTTAAATTTGATGCCAGAAAAGAAGAGGTGCTGCTGGTTTTTGAAGCTTACTGGAAAATGACATTTTGCTTGGTGACTAAAGCATTTGTGTTGAGTAGAGGGTCCACAAAGTCCTTTGGTTGGGAGGTGGGAGGTGAGAAGGAAGTGAAGGGGAACAGGGATCTGTTCTGTGTACTAATGCTTTGTACTAGGTGGAGCCCTTTTACCGTGACCACCCTAGGCTTTTCCACTGCTGCCTTTTCCACTTTCACTGTTAGCTGACTGAACCTCTCGCTTTAATCCTGAGATATGCAAAGTGCATGGCTTGCTCTTCAGTGTGTAAAGCTGCATAGGGTTTATTTTTGTCTTCAGTATAGAATCTGCTTGTAACAAGTGGAAGAGTGATCGAGCCAGCAACCTATGTCTGCAAATGAAGCCTGCATCTCCATAGCATCGCATAATGCTGTGTATTCGCCTGTCCTCTGCAGCCGGTGCCAGAGGATATTGCTTTTCCAGTTGGATTTGCTTGGGGTGCAGCTACAGTGGCATATCAAATTGAAGGTGTCAATTTTTAGCTGCCAAAGTGTTAAGGAAGTTTTAAGTGAACGAAAAGTGTGGATCCAGGAAAGAGAGTGTTTGATCTTTGCCACATTACATAGATGCTACATCTAATGCAAATCCGTGTAGCACTTCTGTTTAAACACTTCTGGCCCAAGCAGAAAGAATAGGGTAAAAGATGTTTCAAATTGCAGAAATATGGCTAGGTAATGGAAATAGAGGAGGAACCTTTCACTAGCTATTGGGGGCGGGGGGAAGCAGCAATAAGTAATTTTCCCACTAGTTCTTTAGTATTTCCTTTCTCTAGAGCTAATTTAAGTAGATTAGTATCAACTATTCCAAAACTGGATGGGAGAACTACGTCAGCAAACATTGGTTCTCACAGAGGGTCCTCAGCTAGGAATTAATCTCCAAAGAATACAAAAACCAGTGAACTGAGAGGTTAACAGTTGGGCTTGTGGAGGCCCTCCCCCAGGGACATGTGTCATGTTCCTAACAGAATGGAGGTGCTGATAAAGTGATTTGCCCAGCATGATATGAAAATATGTGGCAGAGCAGGGAATGCAAACCCATAAGGTATAGGGACACCTACAGCCATAAGCCCCTCAACCTTTATCCTTTCATAAATGTGTGTTTAGAGACCTTTAAAATACATATAGATCTGATTTTCTCATATTATACCCTGCAGCATACAGGCACTTAGCTCCCATTGATTTCAGTACCTAAATGGGAGTTGTAGATCTAAAATTGTTTTTGAGGATGTAGTCTTTAGTTCCTGGTTATTGCTGAAAGAGAGAGGACTTGCCCAGGCTTGCTACCTTTTAACGAGCTCAGTTAGCTTCACCTAATAGACTGAACAGCTCGCTGTTCCTGGGGAATCAATATTCTGGGCCAGATTCAAACTCGAGTCTTGCAATGTGCATAGCTCTACTAACTTATTTTAAAAATATGTGAATTGTGCCTGCATATGGAATGACATTATAATTTCCTGCCTTTTGAGTGGCTAGATGTGCAACTTTAATGTTTTCTTAATGTATTTTTAATGAGCCTTCCTAAGGCTTCTGAGTGGGAGAAACGTAAGAGAAAAAAATCTATAATGTGGTCTAGACACTACTCAAATGACCCTTTTCCCACAGAAGTAAGAAACTCAACAGGGAATTCCTTCTTCTGAAAGCTTTGGAAGCTGTGCAGCTTCAAACTTAGAGGCAGCATGATTGAAGCAATAGTTCTTGTAGAGTCCAAACTCAGTTGCTGCACATATCACAAGATACACAGTGGATGAGGCAAGGGCTGACAGGCTACTTTATTTTTTACTGTCAGCTATGTATTTATGCACAGTACAACCTTCCCCACTCTGTATATTTCAAAGTGCTAAAAAATCATACCAATTGTACTCTGCATGCTCAAAGTGCAAGATTTCAAAGGTTCATGACTCAGTCAAATCAAAATCAATTTGCACCAGAACACTCAAAAGCACTTCTTCTTACTGAGGGCCATTTCTATGCTAAATTTCAACTCTCTGCTTGATTTTTTTTTTTTTTTTTTTTTTTTTTGAGAGAGAGGGAAAAGTTGCAAAAAATTCTCATGATGGTAAAAGTGGTTTTCCTCACTTCTTTCATATGCCAAATAGTTGAACTGCATTAATTCAAACAGAATTTCACCTTTTGGGCAGAGACCAGGCCAAGAAAATTGCACCCTGAAAGGTGAAAGCACAACTGAATTAGAAGAAAAGCTAACTGGGAAAAGTGCATGAAAACTTAAATATTCCGATCAGTAATATATCTGCTTTGCTAGCTTCACTTAAAAGGAAAAACATTCTATCTTACTCCTTTGTAATAATTGCAGAGAATGGGGAACATGCATCATGTTTCATGACAATTTATATTAATCATTTGATGACATGTTATGTGATGATTTGGTAGCCAAGTCTCACCTATATACGTTTGAAATGTAAAATCAGTTCCTCATCACTGTTCTTTCCTGGCCCTGAAGCTCACTAAAACTCAGGGTATGTCTACGCTGTGAACTGCTGTGTAGCGTGGAGGTTTCTGAGCAAGCTCAAAGGTGCAAGCTCAGTTCTTTGAAGCAGAGCAGAGCTCTGTGCAGACTAATTGTGGCTCAGCAGGATACATCAGTGTATGTGGAGCTTTCTGTTGCCTTGGCTAGATTGCTTCCTACACTTTATGTGGCTAGCTCGGGTACTCTGCACTGTACAGAGAGGCTCTTCGAACAGCATGAGGAATGCTTGAAAGTGGGTCCGTTTGCCGCAGCCCCAGTCAGGGCTTTATAGTGGCTAATGACCACTGGAGTAGTACTGTGATACTCTGCTGAAAATCAAATGCTTCGCCCTCTACCTCCCACCTCCTTTGCTGGAGGAAGGCTGACGAAAAAGAAATCATTCAGCATCTGCTCTAGCTGCTGATTCTTAAATGAAGGTGTCTTAGCTGCCCATTATGGCAGCTTTTGACTTCCCTTCACTCCCACCATAGTGAAAAAGGAGCTATGTCATATCGATATGGTGCAGGAAGCCTGCCCCTAAAGGCTTCTAAATTCTAGGTACCACCAAAGAATTACCATTATTTGTTATTTCCTGCACGCCTCTAAAATGATTATTTATTTCAGCAGGCATATTTGAAATCAAGATATAGAAAACTTTTAGTACTACATTTTTCCAAGGAGTATAAGGACAGAGCACAAAGTCTGTGGTGAAATCTGAAATTAAGAGAAACTCAAACTGTCTGGATCTAAAATTTGACCTACTTTGAAGGTTGTCCCATATAAGAGTTTAATTTACTGACCAACCGAATGTAGATGTATCGGTGTTCATGTGCTGCAATAAAATTCTGTAAAGAACATAAAATGTGACAATGGTCTTTGAAAAGCTAGGTTACAGAAGTGATATTACAAATTTTAGTAATGCTTTAAATTAAGTGTCTTCAATATGCTTAACCTTGCATTAAACTTAGATTTAATAAGACAGATGTGTATTAAGTACCGAATATACTTAAGGGAGCAATCTTGCGTTGGCAGGGGATGGACTCAATGACCTCCTAATAGTTCTCCTCCATCTCTAATTTCTATGATACTAATTGATTATTAAAACACTTTTATTGAGGATTGATATGTAGCTATTATAGAGTTATCAATCTTACAACCCAACTGATATTTAATTTATACATGATTTTAACACACAATGTCATTTTAGTTTTTAAAGAGTAACCCTGGAACAGTGTGTTCACTGGGGCTCTGAAACATCTTGCTGGTAAATGAGGTTGGCCATTTTGGGGTTATTTGGAATTTTGTGATAAAATCACACTTTGCAGGGGTGTAAGTTTACAGAGCTCTCCACATTAAAAATGAAATGTTTGCCTCAGTTACAGCATTGCTCTGGAAAGACAAAGCAGCTTGTCATGAAGAAAGGTGCATTTATTTGGTTTAAATACCATGTAGTGTTAGTCCTGTGCAATCTCAAACAACAGTTAAATTTTTAATATTTTAGAGGTAATCTGTCTATCTGAATTTTGGATTGCGAAGAAATTTTCCAAAACTATGAAAGTGAAGAAAATGGTGCAGGGATTTTGAGCATTCAGAATTCATTTGTGTGAATGTTTGGCTAAGCAAAAAGCAGAGGCTTTGCAGAGCTGTGTTATTAATTCAGCTTGTATACGCCTAGGGCCATGGCTCATAATGGCATTCCTTTCTTTTTAACAGACTGTCAGGATTTTCAAAGGACATCCAGAAAGCCATAAGTGCCTATTTGTTGAATGTATTTCTCATACCCTAAAGGCTTTCTTTGATATGGACTGATCTTTTACATTTATGGATGGAAGTTGCATTTGAAAATGCCCTTTGTGAAAACCTGTAATATCTCAAGAGTTGCAAACATCTGATTTTTGGCTAAGGAAGTATGAAGAGTGTCAGAACTCTGAATGCTTTTTAAAACAGGATTTTCAAATAATTAGCAGCAAGCAAAAATATGAATAAATGCAAAACCTAATGCAAATATATACTAATGCTTGAAAGTTACTAGTTACTTTAAATGATATAAGGAGGGGGGAGGGAATACTGCTCATTTTGCTCATAGGATTTTGAGGGGTTTGTGCCTATTTTGTGATAAATATTTACATTCAACATATGTCTTTTGATGTCAAAAGTATAATGACCAAGTTTTGTTTTTCAAGCAGAAGGCTGGAATGCAGATGGAAAGGGCCCTAATGTCTGGGACACATTCACCCATCAGGGAGGAGATCAAGTTTTCAAGAACCAGACTGGTGATGTAGCTTGTGGCAGCTACACTCTGTGGGAGGAAGATTTGAAATGTATCAAACAGCTTGGATTGACTCATTATCGCTTTTCTCTTTCCTGGTCACGTCTGTTACCTGATGGGACGACAGGTTTCATCAACCAGAAAGGCAATTGTTTCTTAAAAATAGAAGGTTGCAGCTTTAATTCAAGGTTATTGCTGCAGTCTGGCATAATTAATCCAGTATGCTATTCTGCAGTGCAGCTTTGAAATTGCAACTTTTTTCAGAGTAATTATGGGATGATTTTTTATAGGTTTGCAACAACTTACTAATTAATATTCCAGATCCCCTTGGATAGCACAATCTTTTGGGATAGGATTAGTATTGTTTCCTATGTATCTTTTTGCTTACTCCATTTTTTTTAATTGTAACTCTAAATCATTTTGCTTCATCAGAATGTTTATACTTACAGGGATCGTAGCCATGAGGATATTTTTGGATGGCTTACAATAGACAAGTATGTTATTTGGCAAATGCATTTAGATAGTTTATCAGTATCCTCTGATGTACTGAACTTCACATCAACTATTTTGCGCTAAGAGGAACATACTTTTCCCAGATATTTTCTTTCGCAAATTAGAGAGGATTCTTCAGACTCAGCTAGGAACTGTGCTTAGTTCTCTGACAAACAAAAGACAGTTCCTGCTCGGAAGAGAAGAGTTTTCACAATCTCAGCAGACAGTGTAGAAGTGAAAAGGGATACAGCACATAAACAAGCTGGTCAGATTGCTGGAAGTCAGATATAAAATTTGTTACACTTCTGATTTGTTTACTTTAATTCCATTGGTATGGACTCGGGGAAAGATGAAGGTGACTTACTAGGG